AATACTCGTCATTTCCAAGCCAACTAAACGACTTTTTTCGATCATATGAAATATTCAGTAAAAGAATTTTTATTTTTGTTGTTTATTCTATATTTAACACGAATAAATTTCAATACATAAACGCGGATTTTTTATCCAAATATATTTTCGTAAAACCTAGTACAGATATAACACATTTTAATATGGCAACACTGTCGCTTTCAGTTCCACACCGTCTTCGATATGTCTTCGCTGGCTGAATTAGAGAAAATGAGTGTTTTGTGCGTTGGTAGCAGAATGAGTAGAGGCTCCACCGTACGGCACTTGAGACGTAAGGGGAAATCGAATCAGCCTTTTTACGAATTTGCCCATTAGGTTGCGCATCTTCCCAATTCTTTCAATCAACGATAATAGTTAAATTCTATAGATATTATAGAAATAAACATATATTTTCATATAATAGTAAATCAATTTTATTATCTAAGAGCGATGGTTAACATGTCGGTAATTTGATTGTGCATGTTAATAACAATTTAATTGTGATCTTAATTAGGAAAAAATACAGTCATAAGAACCAGAAAGTATATAATTTGATATCTCTGAGAAGTACATTGTTAAAAAAATTTTCTCTCTCTTTCTTTTTTCTATTCATTGCGAGCACATGTAACATGAGTTGATAATGAATAAAATGAACAACGGAACCTGATCCTGTACTGTCTGTAATAACCAACATTAATTTTGCATTAGGGCTGGAAAGGTTTCATTAAAGTTAACCTTTTCTTTCTGTCTTATGCCACTGTTTTTTTAATTGATATATGTCTGTAAATTTGAGGGATTATTGAGTATCTATTAATAATTATATTTAAAAACTTTTAAAATACAAAAATTTATATAAAATATGTTTTCCGAAAAAAATATAAAAATGCTATATTTTTCTCTATAACTCCTTGTACATTTAAAAAAATACTTAACAATAAAATTTTATTCTGCTTCACTAATATATTACAACCTTCTTAAGGCCAACTGGTAGTAAGCGCCATTAAAAAATGAAGAAGAGTTTGGGTCAAGTAAGGAGGTCTAGCGCTTGACCTCACCTCGCCAAAATTATCATTGTTTGACATTCCCCAGCCGTCTTTGACGCCGTTTTTTATATATAATATAATTCGTACATAAATTGTGAATTAATTTGTCGTAATTTACCCTCTGCCGTTATGGTTTATGATGAAATAATACCTGCCCTTGTTACATCGGTTATACTGGTTGCGTCTCAAAAGTGGCTTACCACTATAACTTTTTTTCAGATAAAAAAGCGAGATTTGGTATGTTAGTATATGACATAAATTGGAATTGATTGACGTATTCAATTGTTTTTGATCATTTCCTGTTTCACCGGAAATGACTACAACTTGTGGTTTTTAAATGACATCCTCGGTATTTTTTACTTTATTCGATAGAAAATGACATCAATAGAATGATATACATATGTCAACTTTTGACATTCTCACTTAATGCAAAATCGTATTTTACCTTTCAATCTAGAGTGCCATAAAAACACTAATTATTAGTCAAGGAGCCTTTTAAAAATAGATTTGATCCTCAAATGTTTTTAATATCTTGTCTTGGCTGGTTAAAAGACGCCCTAATCGTATTTTTAATTATATCTCAATTTTTTAAAATGGAACGAGAATGTTTACGAGAAATCATTAGCATATTTTGAAAAAACATTTTTTACGAATAATTCGATACCACACACTTGATATTTCGAGTCAAATTTTCGTTATGAACCGCCTTTATAATTTTAAATAAAACCTTCCTAAGGAAGGAGCATAATGCTATCCATGTATTCATGCATGGTGGGCGGAAAAGCCACCATAAAAGCTCTCTAGGGTGGGGATCCTTGACAGTTCTGTTTGACGATTCATTTGACACATTTGAATTTGATTTGAAATTTTGTGGATTTGTCAGTCTTTACGGAGCTGTGCACATGTTATTTATTATTTATTCTACTACTTGATAGTTGTATAAAAGGTAGTAAGTCTAGATGAGTATTGGCAGAACTTAATTAACAGTGACACTATCGCGATTTGTCGAAAAAAGACTCTAAAATAGTTGGTTGTGTAGCGTGCATGAATCTTGGCAAAAATTGAGTGAAATAATGTAACAACTTTTCGCTAGTAGTGACTATATAATATACATACGTGTAGTAAACCGTCATTGCTTAATTCACTTAAATTATTAATATTTTTTTCTTGCATTTTTTAGCTTTTATTTATTACTTGTCAAAGATTAGATGTCAAGAATTTAGATACGTTAATTTGACTTGCTTCAGTAGCGTATCGGATGTTTGTGTTAATAAATATACTTATTATAACTTTTTTTTATTAAATTATAACTACCAACATTTATTCACAACGTAAAATAAAACAACAAATTATTGAGTCTACCCCACGTCTACCCTACATCATAGTTTTACATTTTTTAAATAAAATTAGAACGACACTGATAAACCGGAATTTAAGTCGGCCATATTTGAGGCCCATCGCGGTGTACCTAAGATTTTTGATATGCTCCTTCCTTAGTCTTCTTATTCAAAGAATAAAACATATGCGAAAACGTCAAAAGTTGACATATGATAGGTATGTCATTCTATTCAAAGTATTACTTTCTATCAAATAAAATAAAAAAATACCGAGGGTGCCGTTTAAAAATCAAAAGTTGTAGTAATTTCCGGTGAAACATGAAGTGACCGAAAAATACGTCAATCAATCCTAATTTATGTCATATACTAACATACCAAATCTTATTTTTTTTTAAATGAAAACATAAAAAAGTTATAGGGGTGAGCCACTTTTGAGACGCACCCGGTATTCACGTCACATCTCCAGTTGTGCTAAAATATACCGGATGTATACTACATAGGTATCCTGAATTCGACTGGGACACTAGTTATATGATCAGAAATTTTAAAACATTTATGTTTAAATACTTCAATGTAACAGATCTTAATTATAATCTAATAGTAAACACCCTTCTCATTCAGAAAGATCACGACCCGAAAAAAGGGCATTTTAAACCTCAGCCCCTCTTTTTTACTAATTAAATTCTATTTGTCGGTGCTAGATAATGCGCCATAGCCGTGCGGTGTCGTATTACGGTTTGGCTGACAAAACATCTGCTTCTGCCTTAAAAAACCCGATTACACTACACAATCTGCCCCTAATGAATGAAGCTATTTGTCCCGATGCCGATTAGAATGCCAGATCAATGATCCGGTTGATTTCGAACTAGTAATTTTCGAGTAAATTGAACATAATCGCCGAGTTTCGTTTTTTCGGGCTTGCTTGGTGTGTTATTTAAGGCTTTGAAATGTGTTAATCCGGGCGAAGGTTCTATTCCTTTTTTGTTTGGTGTTAGATTTTCTGCATCTGGTTCAAAATACGGTATTATCTTTAGATAATACCAAATAAACGGAAAAATCTAATGATCATACCAAATAAACTTTTAATGACGTGTTTAAGCTTGACCGGCAGCGTTGCTGACTTTTACATATTTTCTTTTTTTCCATAGCAACTGTTAAAATTACCTTATATCTATCAAAAATAGTAGATAAAATAGTACTTTAACCGCAAGGGTAGATTAAATGATACTTTAACAGCGAGGATATGTTAAAAACTATTTCTTCTCGCACGTTTTTTAATTGCTTCCATGAAAATTTTTGTATTCCCTTTCATAAGTTATTCGAGATTTAAATGGAAGTAGTTCGGATTTGGCGTTTGTCGCCTCAGCCTGAATATCTGATGGTAATTTACTTATTTCGTTTTGAGCCATTTCTGGCTCCAACTCAATCAGCAATCGACACGAAAGAGAATTAAAAAATATTGACTCAAAACTGACAACTAAAGAGACAGCTTTATTTATTTGTCAAATTACATAGAAACCAACGCCAAACCAGCACAATATTTTTTCTACTTCTAATAAATTCCTTGAGATAATAATTTCTGAATATGTTTGAAAACGTAACGGACATAAAGGGTCATTTCTACCAATTTTCCGCTCAAAATATTCTAATAAGGTTGCGATGAGTTTTTTTGCAACGGCTGTTAAGTTGCTTCGGCTTCTTGTACACTTTGCACTAAAATCGCTTCTAAGAAAAATACTTTTTGACTGCAAGGTCTGCTAGAAAAAAAAATAAGTTTATGGTATCACAACACAATTAACTTAAGCCAAAAACACGATACAAAACTAAAGGGTCAAAACGAATTAAAATGTCAGGAAATAAATAAATAAATGTCGCAACTTCACATTTTTTACAGCAGAGCTACCACCTGAATTGCAAGCGGGAAATTTGAATGCCAGTTAGTCAGCCGGGTCAGCCCGGTGCCGAATATGTTCATGGTTGGCAACAATGAATTTAATAATCGCGGCATCGATGACGTAACTAACTTTATATTTGGTAATCGCTTATCGAAGTCAATGGAATATTTTTTGCCAGTGTATTCTGTATATTTGTTATAGAACTGTGATTTTCTTCAATTAAAATATAAGAAAGAGCAAAATTTAGATGTGAAACACGAAAATTATTATCTATGGGGAAATTAAAATAACTTTCGTTGCACATCATAATACGACCACCAGCAAACTCCATAAGAGGACGCATGGTCTCATTGATGACGTGCAACGAAAGTTGTTTTAATTTCCCATATACTTCCTTGTTTATTAAAATAGACACAGACTGTATAATATACTTTTGAAATTTATGTAACAAAACTTTCCTTAACTAATAATACAGGGCTCTCATTTAAAAAAGAACTAAACACTGGTAATTAGTTCAAAAATGAAGCAACTTAATAGCTAAACTAAGCCATTGGATATTGCATAAAAACGCTAAATTATATGATATCTTCAGTGTGTGCCATGGAATTTTGCGATCTAGCAACACGCTTTTTTATTTTATATTGTTTGTACCAATCTTTATCTAATGAAATAAGGCCAAATTATAAGACGTATTATTTTTGTTTCAGAAGGCAACATCAGTCCACGGCCTCCGCTACCGGAGGTACCACCACGTGGCACGGCGCCAGTTTGGGTTCGGTACCGCCAACCTCTCCATCATGCGACACCCCCGAGCGACTTAAAGGCGCCACTTGTGACCTGTTCGAGCTTTTGGAAAAAGCCCAAAGGTCCAGAATTGACGATCAGAGATGTATGCTGCCGGCGTATTTTAACCAGGTATTTCATTTTTCATAAAAGTCAACCGCAATTTTTTTTTAACGCAGTGATAATTTCTTATTTATACTCGTAGGTTTTATGCTGCGTAGTAGGTTTTTCTCTTGTTCTCTCACAGCCATGACAATCACATATTCTTATACAGAATAGAACGCTTTACAAAAAAGGTCTCTTACAATTTTTCGATAAACCTACTCCTTCAAAAGTTATTCACGGTTAAAGTTAACTACTCGGTAAATTCCTAAATCTTTTTGACAAAATTATGATTATTTTTGAAAAATTTAATCTATTATTTGAAAAAAAAAGCAATTTTCATGATACCATGATGAATAATTTTGAATCATGAAAAACAAATGCATGACAGAAAAACTATTTAAAATATTGAAATTCAACTATTCGAGAACACTTTACTTTTTTAAAACAGATACGTCTACAAGAAACCGTTGACGTTCTGTTAACAGTTAAAAATTACATTTTTAACTTGATATTTAAACTTCAAAATTAACAATTACTACCTGATAACAATTACTTAATAAGGTAAAACCAAAAAGCCCCAAACTTTCTGTATGATTATTTTTAAATTTTACGTATGTTATGTTTTTTTATCTTGTTGTATCTATTGTTCTTTAAAATCAAAGAAGCGATTGCAGTGCAGTGCAGTGGCGAAATACCCATAAAGGATTTTTTTATACTTATAAATGGTTTAAACTTCATTAGACTTGAAGATTTCTTAATTCCCAACCTTAACACAATCAGAATTATATATTTTTACAGTAATAGATTAAATCTTTCAAAAATAATCATAATTTTGTCAAAAAAGTTGAAGAATTTAGGAATTTACCGAGTGGTTAACTTTAACTGTGAATAACTTTTGAAGGAGTAGATTTATCGAAAAATTGTAAGAGACCTTTTTTGTAAAGCGTTCAATTCTGTATAAGAATATGTAATTGTCATGGCGACAACAACGAGAGAATTGATTGAGTTGATTGAAGAGAGTTGATCGAGAGAAAAAAAATTATTTGCAAAAAGTGCCAAATTCCTATGTAATTTAAATGGGAAATGAACCGGCTTTGGGGCAAGGTTCATTCTGAATATTAAGGGTTTACAATGGTCTGTTATTTTTTTTAGACAATAAACAAAAAAATTATAGGGCGTTGCGTCGTGAGAGAAATGATGAACTTTGTAAATAACGCGATTTAAGAGGCTTAGAAATTGTAAATGTGGAATGTCATGATTTGGAGAAAATATAGACTTTAATAGGCAAGAGTATTAAAATTGTGCAGAATAAAACACATATGTATATTTTAGCAAACCTATTTTTAGAAATATGAAAGAGAACCATTTCTATACATCGGAACAAAAAAGTATGCAGACCATAGATGCAGACCTACCAATCAATGTAGTGCTTTAATAAATTTAAATCACAGTATTTCGTGTAATTATGTTTTTGAAACAGATTTAAGTACTTAATAAAAGTATTGTACATTATTGAATTTATTGGAAAGCGAAGGCGTTTTGAAAGCGAACATTTTCTTGTTACTTAAGACCTCGTCTGAAGATCGAACCATTAATCACAAGAATATAAACATTTTTTGTTGAGATATTTTTTTTAATTTCTTTCAGGGACAATAGATTTTTTCTTGATTTTTTTTGAACAGGCGGCCAATGTCCGAAAGAAACAGTGTCGCCCATTGTCATATTTTGCATTACAGGACTATATTGAATAATAATAAGAAGAAAAAGTGGGTCACCTCGACATATTGCTGTATAATTCTTGTACTAAAGATTATTTTTTTATTATAAAGCATAAATTGTCTTACAAAAGGTTGAAAATTGTTTTAACGCGGCTTCTTCAAAGGAAAGTTGTAAAAAATATTTTTCTGAAAATATAGTTTTTTTGAAGTGAAACTTCCTTACGCGTGCTGGGAGTAAAAATTCAAAACCGCGATACACGAGCTAGTGGTATCGATGGAAAAAGTGGTTAGCCAATGAGGAAGTTGAGGTGGGTCTTTGGAGCGTCCTAACTCGGACCCTATGTGAGCTAGGGGGCTAAAACTAGGAATGCAGATGGGGCTCGAATATACAGGGTTGTTCACCACATACGACACGGAGTATTGTAGCTAAACGATTAGATTTTTACAAATTGTAAGTTTTGGGTTCGTTGAAGGACTATTAGAGCTACAATTTAAAAATATTTTTACAATATACAGAGTGTCCCAAATAAGTAAAAAATATTATAGTTGTATTTTTTTAAATGGAACGCCCTGTATATTATTCTATTTTTGGATTCTACGATTAAAATAAAGATAAATTTGATTAAGGTTTATCACACTTAAGCCTTACCGTTTTTGAAATATTTTCAATTTTATGAAATTGCAGTAAAAATGTTGAGGCTTCATTTCTCCAAGGGTATCAAAGTTTTTAATACTAAATATTTACTGAAGATTATTTATTGAGCAGATATTATGTAGCAATAATAAAATTTTTACTACGTTATACAGAGTGTCCAAAAATTTATATTAAATAATTACTAGCTTTAAATGACAATAACTTGTTTAATTTAAATGGAACACCCTATATATTTTAGAAGAATTAGATGTACAATTTAATTGTCTATCAAAATATATTGTACCATTTTTTACCTATCTCTTCAAGTTTTCGTAGAAAATGCATTTTCTTATAATTTAGACCTCATTTATCACTATACCTATGGAATATTGACATTTCAGTTTTTTTTAAAGCAACATGTATGTACAAAATATACAGGTGGTAAATATTGCAAGCCTATTGGTATAAAAAAAACTATTTACATTTTTGTAAAAGAGTATACCAATTATAATATACCACCATTATTTCCCCCCAAAAATTAGTTACTAACATACTTTTAAATTGTTTTAATTAATAAAGTATTCTAAATAAATGTGGATTTGGCTCAGAAATCAATATAATAATAAGTTTTGAAAATGAACGTCTCTGTTTTTATAAATTAGCATTCGTCAAAAAATGAAATAAAATTTATAAAGTGTTACTTTTTACCACAGTGTCTCATACACACAAAATTCAGTTTTTCAGTTTTGGAGCAATTATTATTAATCAACGTAAACAATCAATTAATGTAGTTTGAATACCGGGATCATATTAATTGGTCCTCTTTAACAAAAAATATTTAAACTGCTTTTATTTAATTTTTTAACGAAATAAGCGAACTATATCGATAATATTAGTGTCTGTACTCTTTGAAAATTTGTTACATCTTTTAAAATAATCTAAAATGAAGAGATGGGTCAAAAACGGTATAATACAATTTGATAGACAATTAAATTGTGCATATGATTCACGTAAAATATACAGGGTGTTCCATTTAAATTAAACAAGTTATTGCCGTTTAAAGCTAATAATTATTTAATATAAATTTTTGGACACTCTGTATAAGGTAGTACAATTTTTATTATTGCAACACAATATCTGATCAATAAATAATCTTCAGTAAATATTTAGTATTAAAAACTTTGATACCCTTGGAGAAATGAAGCCTTAAAATATTTACTGCAATTTCATAAAATTGTGAATATTTCAAAAACGGTAAGGTTTAAGTGTGATAAACCTTAATCAAATTTATCTTAATTTTAATCGTAGAATCTAAAAATAGAATAATGTACAGGGTGTTCCATTTAAAAAAATACAACTATAATATTTTTTACTTATTTGGGACACTCTGTATATTGTAAACATATTTTTAAATTGTAGCTCTAATAGTTCTTCAACGAACCCAAAACTTAAATTTGTAAAAATCTAATCGTTTAGCTACAATACTCCGTGTCGTATGTGGTGAACAACCCTGTATATTTTTTTACAGCTACTTACTAAACGAGTCGTTTACACTATAATCACACCTTGATACATGCTTTTAAACTTTTTTACGCCTAAAGAAATTCAGAACCTCGCAATTAGTGAAATAAATTAGTGGTTTCAATTAGTGTACAAATAATTATAAAACTTTTCCACCAACTATAGTTCAAAATTTACGAGAAATGTCATTTTGGCCTTTGATTATCTTCCGCCAAGAGAAATTGTGGTTAGAAATCAAAAGTTGATTGTTTTATAAGCTAAATATTAGCGATATTAGGCTTTTTCTATGGATACAACTGTCTAACGCAAGCTATTGCTAGGATATTCTATTAATTTTAATTGTGTTTTTTAAACATTGTGAATGATCGTAAACTAAGTAGTGTAAAATGTAATTGAAACCACTAATATAATCCACCAATTGCGAGGTTCTGAATGAGGCTTTAAGCCTAACCTAACCTCGCAATTAGTGGAACAAATTAGTGGATGCAATTAGCGTAGAAGTTATTCTACTAATTTGAATGTAAACAGTCAGAACGTCAAAATTAGTGGTAGGAATTTTCAATTAGTGGAAAAAGTTACCAAACTTTGAACTTTTTTACTAATTATACTTCAATATTTGCAAGAAATGTCATTTTGGCATTTGATTATCATCCGTCAAGAGAAAACGTGGTTAGAAATCAGAAGTTTATTGTTTTTTAAGCTAAATATTAGGCTTTCTCTGTGGATACAACTGATTACCGCAAGCTGTTGCTAGGATATTCTATTAATCTTAATTGTGTTTTAGACATTGTGAATGATCGTAAACTAGTATAAAGTGTAACTGAAACCACTAATTTAAACCAACCAAATTTAACCAAATGCGAGGTTCTGAGTTCTGAATGAAGCTTAAATTTTTCAGACATTCTGGCAATGTATTAAACATTCTTAAGGCGGTATTTTGCAACCCCTAAGTAAGTAGTAAGTGATAGTAATTCTAATTTGATTTGTTAGTAACATATTTTTGTTTCTTGTAGGATAGTTGTGATCACCCAATAATAATTATTAAACATATATCCATGCATACTTCTTAAAAAAGAATAAAACTTCAAATATATACAAATCCGGCAACGTCAAAAAATTATTGTCGGTAAAAATGTGTTTACAAGTATCATTTA